GAGCGTGAAGATGGCATAGTTACTGATTCAGAGCAAGTCGGTGACTTAGATCACCTCGCAGAAAAAGAAGCAGGGGAGGATTTGGGCAGCCAAAAACTCCAAGAACTCAAAGTTTGTACCAATGAAATTATGGCTGAAGTACCTAAAAATCAAGAGGAAGCTGGCTTAGCAGAAGCAAACTGCAGCTCTGCCGTGTCTTTCTGCACAAGTCAAGATGAGAAGAGTGATGGCCAGGCTCTCCTTCTGCAGGTGGACAGTGTTACTGGAACAAGAGATGAGAAGGAGGAAGAGATCAGCGGGAATGTGTTCAGTGGTGATGGAGCTGATAAAAATGCCTCCTGTTCACACACCCGTATGGGAGGATTAAACTGTGGCTCTGTGGAAATCTGTGAGACTGCAGCAACACCCAATGTCTCAGAGAGGAAAGACAGTGTAAGTAGTGGCGCTAAAACCTAAAATGGAGTGAAGGAACAGACTGTTATGCAACAAGAGTATTATTTTGAGAATAATGTCAAAATGTGGCGATTACAGTTGTTGTTTTAAGTCAAACAACTTCCACAGCTCGTATAAGCTCTACAAAATGCCCTGTGTAGATGAGCTAGGGAAACAGCTTCAGCTGCCATTGTTTCCCCTCTGTACTGCATGAGGGCGTAGCCATCGATATCCTTGCACCTGTCCATTGCCAGCTATTTAATTTTGCAAGTATGATTTCACTAACTCATCAGCACAAACCATTTTTTAGAGGTTGTAGCAGCCGTGGCACGTCTATGACCTGAAACAACAATTTTAATCTCCACATTTCAACTTTATTCTTCTTCTATTTTAAGGATTAAAGGACTAAATCTTTCTTCTTATTTTGCCCTTTTGTTCCCCTTAATGATTCATTAATGTAGTTTAAAATGTCATCTCAGCGTTTGACTCTTATGCACCACCAGTAAAAGCACTGGGCATTAGTGCTGAAACTCTTAATCAGTTATTGATTAAACTGTGTGTAAAATTATAAGTCATTTATGTTAAAAATATCAAGAACAAATGTTTCAATCTTGTGTGTTTCTAGTATATTTATCTGTGTTGATTTACAGTGAGTTCTCTTTACTTGTGATGTTAATTTGACAAATTAATTATTTTAATATTTAAAAAACTAAACTATGAAATTAATTAACTGAAAATAAGCCCAACATAAAAAAGCTACTTAATTCATATCATGTGGAAAGAGCATTTATTGTTTTTGTTTCTTTGTGTTTATAAATACAGCGTGATCCTGATGAACCTGCTGCTGGTCCTTCAGCTGTTCACGCTGATCGCTCGCAGACACTCTCACTCACTGCTGACTCGTTTGGATCTGGGTGCTTAGATTATGTGTCGGACTCCCAGCTGAACACCATCGTTCTAATGTAAGAAATAAGCAAGGAAATACCAGTACATCCGCTGATACACAAAAGACTGCACACACGAACAGTCGGATGCTTCAGATGTACAAGTTTCTGTATGTGTATCTTTCAACTCTACTGTGCTAATTTTACTCAATATTCAAGAAACTGTTTTAAAAAATAGTCTCAAATACAAAAAAAA